AGTTCAAAACGGACTTGGCTCGAGCCCGATGGCGGAGTATGGAACTTGAGGATCGAAGTGCACGATGAAAACCAAGGTCAATTATGATCAACCTCGAGATAATACTGCTATGGTTTAATAACATAAAGAGCAAGATTCCCGCAACGGCCCGAAGATCACGACATAAATTCCGGAATTGATTTGTCCTTGGCGGTTAGACAACTATCCAATGAGATTCCATACTATAATTAGAGGTGTACCTTATTTAGGATTCCCCTATTATATAAAGGGGAGCCGATTCATTTGTAATGCACGATTCATCAACAAGAGAATATACATTCGTCACTTTCTTGCTTATTGTTCATCAAAGTTGCTTTATAATTTACTGTTCTTACTAGCCCACCTCGAGACTATCATAGCTCGAGGTCGAGACTTGGCATACTGGTTTGACTTGCTCCATTCTTCAATTTATATATTTAACTCCTTGTTTATCAATTGGTATTAAATTAAATCTCATATCTTTAAAACCTAGAAATATAAATTTAATTGTTACTCAGATTTTAAGGTAAACAAGGGGGAAATTAGATTTAGAAGAAAGATTTAAATCAGTTCGATTAGATCATTTATGCTCTTTGATATATATCTTTTCTAAGTTCTTGGTTGCGACATTCATGGCCTCTAGTATTTTCTGGGCTTTATCAAACTCTCTCTCTCCCTCCATGGAGTAACGGGTGAAGCGATCATACATGAGAAGAAGGCGATTACCCAAAATTCACGCATTATCTGTTATGAACGCTACTGAAGAAGTGGGCCTAAAGGAGCACCAAAATCAACTTGGGCCTGTCCTATAGATTAGGAAAATGTTCATACATGAGAAGAAGGCGATTACCCAAAATTCACGCTTTTTTGCGTTAAAATAGCATGGTCTAGCCAGTTTTCGGACTGGTCATTCAAAAATATTGAGCGTTTGTCAAGTCAATAAAAAATAGCCACAATTTTGCTGCAACAGAGACCGGTCCAGCATAATATACTGGAGTTCGGTGCACCTGTGTATGAACTTCCAGCATATTATGCTGGATCGATATACTTTGCTGGCTCCAGTATATTATGATGGACCGGTATATTATACTGGAACTCCAGTATATTATACTGGAACTCCAGTATATTATACTGGAGTATTTTTTCGTATTTTGAACAGTGTTTTCGTTTAGATTTATCTTTATATGAAAAGTGGCTAAATTTCGATTACTTTGGAAACTATGGCTATTTTTGATTGAGCACTTGTAAATATGGCTATTTTTGAATTTCTCCCTTTTTGCTCCTTTTCTTCAAAAAAAAAATTTTGTAACAATAAAAAACCTAATATAGTACAAGGGTATTGAGTGTTTGGTTTTAAAATTGTTGCATTTTTTCTTTAAAGAGTGTGAATGGGAAATGAAAGAGGCATCTTCTGGATTGCACCTTTCCATATCACCCTTCCTTTGTCTATAAGCTTGGCCTCAATTTTAGACATAGAAAAATTTGAAAACTTCTCCTCTTTTCTATATTGTTGGATTGTTTTTCCAAATAAACAAAGTGTCAGGTGTGATTTGCTCCGTTCGTTGAGTTCGCCAAAATTTTGTAATTTCGATTGCTAGTATTACAGAATAGTTTTTCCGTTCTATCTTGGGAGGAAGTAATCCATAACCTTTGGCAACAGTGATGAAATTAAATTCCTTAAGGACACACAAACAACTTGTGGGCTCGGAATTATCTTACGATTTATTTATTAAACTAACGTTTCTTTTGTTTGCTTCTCTGATTTTCTGATATTGAACACAATAATACCAACAAAAATACAGGGGTGTCTCCATTTCTAAGTATTAATTAATATAGGGGTAGTTAACGTATTTAACTCTTTTTTTTTCATAACTCCCACATGATAATTACATGAAATACTTGTTACAATTTTGCATTAACAGGCCTTCTCCGCCATATCCAAAAAAAAAAAAAAAATTGGTGCACCTGCAACTGTAAAATCTTCTTAAAAAAATTAGAAAGAGAGATTTTAAAAGAGAATATTTTGTTTTGCATTGACCTTGGCCCCCATTCTAACTCGAACATGTTCTCATGCAACTGCAACTGTAAAATGTCCCACTTCATTCATTTTTAATCCATTTCAGTAGTATTACATTATCTACTAAATGAAATGTCAGTAATGACATGGTTCACCATTTTGGCAGGTAAAGTTTGGTGTAGCAACCACAACTTTTCACAACGTGTTGACCAAATCACCAAAACAAAAAAGTAAACCCATAAAGTGGATAGGGAACTATTTAAATGAGAACAACAAAGAAAAAGATCATTCGTTGATTGTGAATTTCAATTTTGCATTGTTCTCCATTAAGTTACATTTATTAGATTGATAGGCATTACACTTGATCATTCAGTTCAGTTTCCTATAAAAGCAATTTCTCAATAAGTAGTAGGCATTAAGCTTTCAAGAGAATAGGCATAGATACACATATCTATGTAAAAATTGCAGAACCCAACGATTAGGACAAGTCTACTACGTACGACCATCTCGAAGGCTACTCCATTTCTTGCACCAAATTTGGAAATGGTATTTTTTTTGCTCCAATGCAACACTAATTCTTGCACTATTATAGAGCATGACACTATTATCACTCTAAATTTGGTTTAATATTATTTTATTCAATCTTTTTATTTTGTGGACTTTTAATTTATCATATATTGTGTATATAATTAATATTTATATTAAGATCTTTATAATTTTAATTTTATATCTTATTTTTTGATATATTAATTTTTGTATATATTATATTTATATAAAATTATAAGTTAATTTTATTATTATTATAATTGTATAAAAAGAAATTTAACCATTATTTAATCGAGCATTTATGGGAGAATAGAGGCGAAAGTTAAATATTTATGTGGTACTTAAATTAAATTTGACTATGATGTAATATTTATTTAATTATCTTTATCAATGATTTCACTTTTAGTTAATTTATCCTTTAAAATAATTTTGTAATAAATGATTATATAAGTGGTGAATGTGAATTATATATAATTAATATGGAAAAAAGAAAAAAGATAGTATTAATTTGAAGGAAATAAAAAATGAAAAGTAAATAGAAGATAATAATATAATATAGAAGAGAGAGAAGATTTGGTGTAAAAAATGGTGTAATGGTTGGAGTAAATTTGGTGTTACACCATTTTAGTGTGAAATTTGGTGCAAGAAATGGTGTTAGCCTTGGAGATGGCCTACTTTTGTTGCCATAAACTGTCATAAATATTCATTGACGAGTCTGTTCATATGTTCCTCAAGGCAAAATATGGTAAAAGGCTGAAGCTAGGACCACCTTCAGCAATCAAAATTGGCATTGGATCAGTTTCTGAAAAGGCAAAGGAGCAACTAGCACAAGTTCTTAAATAAAACAGTGTTTTACAGTACAATAACCAAATGATCCTCTACATCACTTAAATGTAGAGAGAAGATACGGCTATTTTAGTGACTCTGCCCACAAAGCTTAATATAACCAAAAAAATCAACTATACTTTTTTTTTTCATCTCTACTAGCTAGGATTTGAACTATGATATTTAAGGTTTGTGCTCATTTTATTAAGTCACACCTCAATGACACTGGGTTAGTTTCTGAAAGAAATAAATTGCACAAGTTCTTAAATTGAACAGTGTTTTACTCGAACAACCAAATGATCCATCCACTTGGCCCTTGGAAAACTAAACTTTCAAAAAGATTCAGAGAGCGGTTTTGAGAAAAATTATTGTTAAATGACTTTTTGGGCGGAAAAGGGTTAAAAATGCCCCTAAACTATTGAAAAAGATTTAAAAGTACCCTTCATCCATCTATTAGGCTAAAAATATCCATCCATCCACTTTTTTGGTTCACGTATGTCCTTTGACCGTTAGGTCAATGCTGAATTAAAAATAATTATTATTCTTTTAGTAAAACTTAAAAAAAAAATTGCAAAATATTTTCGTTTTTTAAACAAATGCACCAGTAGTCCACTAATTTAATAAAGTCTTCTTTTTATTTTTTCGAATTTCTACAAAAAACAATTCAATTTTTGCAAAAAAATATATTTTTTTCAGTTTTTTAAAGCATTTTTTTTTGTAAAATTGAATTTATTTTTGTAAAAACTGAAAAAAATTGTTAACAAAATATTTTCGCTTTTTTAAAACTGGAAAATAATTTCAACAAAATATTTTCGTTTTTGAAAAAAAAAATCAGTTTTTTTAAAGCACTAAAAAAATGGAAAAACAAATTTGTAAAAACTGATTTTTTTTTGTAAAAACTGAAAAAAATTGTTAACAAAATATTTTCGTTTTTGAAAAAAAAAATCAGTTTTTTTAAAGCACTAAAAAAATGGAAAAACAAATTTGTAAAAACTGATTTTTTTTTGTAAAAACTGAAAAAAATATTTTCGTTTTTTAAAAACTGAAATTTTTTTAAAAAAAAACTTAAAAAAATGAAAATTGGGGTCGGGTCGTGGGTTTTTTTTAAAACGGGTCGGGTAAAAAATGGTTCATTTTAATCTAGTGTTGTCACGTGCCATTTAAATAATAATTATTATTTTTAAATCAGCATTGACATAATAGTCAAAGGGCATAATTGAACCAAAAAGATGAATGAAAGGGTATTTTTAGCTCAATAAATGGGTGAAGGGTATTTTAAAACTTTTTCCAATAGTCCGGGACATTTTTTAACCCTTTTCCGCTTCTTGTGCGGACCTATCTGGAACAGCTTAGTTTGATTTGTAAAGTAACTCAACTTTTAAAAACAAGGGCACGTATGTTTAAATTTATGGGAAACTTCTCCAAGAAACAAACAAATACTATTATATGGTTTGAAACCAAACAAAAATCTTGTCTGAAAAGTAATAACAACTCAAAACATGAGGTTTCTCGCAAAACATAACTATACTGCGAAAACTAACCTTCCAAAACTTTAAATCTAAATCAAATCAAATCCAAAGGCGACCAGAAGCTGTATTTTCAAAAGTTTAAAAAAGGGCCTGTGTAGGCATAAGTAGGAGCATTATTATAATACACAGATTTGAAAGGAGTCATATTACAATTGTCAGATGAAGACACCAAAAGACAGGTCCCTTTGGCCTTTGCCAAAGAATTATTGGCAAAGACAAAAGTTAACAAACAGCCATATGCTAGTTCAATTTATACATAATACTATCTAAGGAACAAACTACTATATATAGACCATGTTATATCAATTGGTCCAATTTTTCTAGCTCATCTCACGAGAGAAGAGGCTTTGCTATTCCTCTTTGCTTGTTATATGCATGGATAGCTCTGACCAGTTTGCTGAACCTCCTGCCTATTTCTACCACCTGCTTGCTCATACATAAATATCAATCAGAATTTCACCCTATAAAAAAAAACCACCATAGACATCATGAAATTAACATCTAATTTGTGATAAACAGCCATTCATCAACGAACTTAACTATATCTAGCTTAGGAGTCCAATTCTTCATAGTCCTCATTATCATAAAAGAAGTATGACCGTAAACCCGAAAAGTGATAAAAATGAAGAAAAAAAAATAGAGCTGATGAGTAGTTCAACTGAATTCATTGAGTAAAATGGTTGAGTACACAGATAAAAAGTCAAATGGCTAAAAGATACAGCTTTACTTGTAAAAGAAAAACATAGCAATTCTGCTCCAAATTCCTAATTAAAGGGTAGCGCACCCTACAATTTTTTTAGATTTATTTTTAAAATGATGCCAACTTTATCACAGCTCAATTATTCAACTCTGTACCAGGTAATATTGGCCATCAAATTTTAGCAGTATATACATTGAGAGTGTTGTAATGATAGATAATCAAGAATTGGCAAAGGGGGCCTGAGACTGCAGGGGATTTGGGACCTAGCATTCAAGTAGATAGGCAAAGAATGTCACAAATCCTCCCCTTAAACAAAACTGCCAAAGTAATTTTTAACAGAAACTACAATCAAACAAATAGTATTTCCAGAATGACCTAAAGATCTATCCCTCATTCAACTGCAACAAGGGGGAGGGAGAAGGAAATTGTAATTAATCCACTGTTCTAAGCTTTGTTTCCCAAAATTTGACATCACAATGAACTGCAATATATAAATCAAAAGATATATTTTCCCCCCATGTCAGTTGCTATTCCCAAAAGACAACTATTTTCAACCTTTTCCTTTGAAAAAGTGTAAAGATGAACAAAGAAAAGATGAAACCTGACTCAGCTAAGAATAAATAGGTCATGAAAATTTATAAAGTCACACAAGTACTATGGCCTTCGTACTCACTTTACCTGTATAACGTGATGTAAAGTAGTATGCGAAACATCAAATTTTTGCTTCACAAAATTAGCACTATAGAAAGATCAGGAAAATAACTTCCTGTTTTGAAATTGGATAGAAGTGCAGAGAGGCTAAAATTTCTGCGTTAAGGGGAATAGTGACAAATAATAGTACTTTTCAATTCTCCCACAAGAGAGAATATTAGCAGGTTTAAATAAATAAATAAATTTGTTTCTTTCCTCTTCTTCTTGTCAAACTAAAAAAGGAATATGGAGAATTATACAATTATTCAGTTTCCTTCCCCCTTTCTTTCCATAGTATATGCATGGGTCCCAAAAAACATGTTGATATCAATCGAGTTAAACAGAGTATCATTCAGAAATGGATTAGTTTCCCTTTTCCAATTCACCAAAAAGGTGTAGGGCCGAAAAATTCAAAATTAAATGGGTAATGGGCGGGTATGAACTACGACCACTACCCCCCTCCCCCTTCTTTCCTTTAAGATTTAAGAGGCAGGCCAAAACCACTTGTATCTACTCCATGACCCAGTGTTCCATCAACTTGTTATTCGTAGTGTTCGGATTAGCTTGCGCACATTACAACTAATTTTATGGGGTACCTATTATCTCCCACCAGCAACATGTACCAAGTAACTCTATTCACCAAGATAGGACGAATTACTTAGTATTTTTTTGTCTCTGATAACTCTATTCCCCAAGGCTTGAACGTATAAGAAAAATCACTTGATATTTTTTGTCTCCAATAAGGATTTAACCTCAAACCTCATGATTCCACCAACCCACTTTATTGACCATAAGGTCACACCCTAGATAATCGAGTAATTTTATCTACCAAAACTTATGCATGTGAAAAGAACCACATCTTTGAGGACTAGTAGTTGCCTTTCTTCATCTTCTAATTTTATACTAGTACTATTATGTATAAGCGACGTCTACTGCCTCTTTTTTCTCCTTAACAGATTTAATGCTGGACCATACCTTAATAAATAAGCAGGCTGTTTTCTGTTATTGGATAAATTAGTTTTAACATCATTAAAAACACCCATTTTCTTTTCTTCACTTAAGAGGTATTTTCTCAACACAAGTTCAAGATTTACATCTTAAATACTACTACTCCATATGTATTTGGTATCATCTAATATCCATCTCGGTCAAGCACAACACTCGCACATCCTCAGTCACACACCATTCATACTTAGTATACCCCAAATGGCAATGCAAATAACCCACCCAACAACCAACCTAACACTCACTTACCACCATCATCTTGCAAAAAAGGCAAAACAGATCACAAGGAACCCATAAACATACAAGAATTAATTTTTGCACTTATGTCAAAACTCAAAATAACCATTCTAGCTCACTGTCTTATATAACTTGGGTGACAAAAGTTTTATTTGTTCCTTTTTAAATAACATATCTAGTCAAACAAATTGAAGTAGTAGCATTTTGCATGTGATGTCACTCGCTCACTGATTTCGTCTATCTCATTCACGTTGAATGAATGAATTTCAAGTTAACCATACAATGAAATTAACAGTAGGATATAATAGAATAATGTTCTAGAATAAGAGTGGTCAAAAGCAAATTAGATTAATTAACTCAATGATATGATTGACTTACCACCTTGTCTCTTTCTAGCATGAGGATGATTACGATAATCGTTGATGTTAGTGGGTACTCTCGGAAGGAAAACACCTGTTCCACCACAAGTAGAACTACCTCCTCCTCCGTTACCATATCCACTTCCCACAAATGGCAAAAACCGGCTTCCCATGAACCGGTTTTCATTTATTCTCAGGTTACGCATTCTCATGAACCGGTTCTCTTGCATCTGCAAAACCCTACTTCTTGCTTCAATCAACCTCTCAACCTATCAATATATGCATGAACTACCGTTTTTTAAGAAAAATATATCCAGAAATAATACGCAATTATTTCAAGTTTCAACTCTACCTGGGGTTGAACCGGTGTATAAAACTGGTACGGATAAACCGGGGGTGGAACACCGATCTGAAGCAGCTCTTCCCCTCTATTTCGTTCAACACAGCCAGAAAGTGAACAATCCGTACAGCTGTACCTCTCTGCCGGTCTGAACCGCTGAACATTACAAACAATGAAGAAATATTTAAAAACATAGTAAAAGCAACAAAAATAGAGCTCCCATGAACAGTAAAAATGGAAACACATAAATAAAATATGGAAGACTCTTTATAACATAAAATAAAAGTAAAAAATGCCGCAGGAAAAAAAAGGTACCTCAGAAATGGGAAATGATTTTGGAACAGAGTGGGGTTGGTGGTTACGTTGATGAAGAAGAGAAAAAGCAGCGAAGCGTTGAATGATATTATCATTATCAGTTTCTTGTTGTTCATCCATTAAAGAGAGATGATCATTGTGATGAATACAAGAGTAATAACAGCAGCAAGTACAAGTATTGGGGTGGTTGTTTTTGAACTTAAACTTGGGAGAAGGAAATGTAACTGAAACTTCTTCTACAGGGAAAATATCAGACGGTAGCCATAACATTCCATCATCCAGATTTTCAGAAGAATCCTCCATTTTCTTCAAAATCAGAGTAGAGACCAGAGTATGTATCTCTTGAAATTTGAGAGAGAGAGAGAGAGGTGTTTTCAAATTGACGTTACGAATTCTTTTTCGTCTGCTTAAAGAAGAGAGAGAAGAAAAGAGAAGTGGGTTGGGTCACGTGACCAGATGATTAGGGAAAAATGGGGCACGACCCAATAACTGGAAGCGTAGTGATAGGGACGGGGTCAGTGGTCACTACCATTTTTGGGTTTCTTCTCAACTTCGTAGAGCAGCGTGACTTCTCCATTGGGAAGTTGACACGTGACAGCTCGGGGAGTTGCTGTAAATTGTTTTGGTTAATTTCGCTTTCACCCCTTTTAAGTTTTACAAAACTTGGGTAAAGTAATAGTACTTTTTTTCTTTTTTTTGACAGAAGGGTAACGTTTTTTGCAAAACCATTCTTTTTTCTAACCAAAGGTCACTAAAAAAACTTTTTTCATTTTTAGATAAACTAAAAAATTATTCTACAGGTGTTATTTAATTTTTACAAAGCTGAAAAACTTATAGTACTATATTTTGGTGTTTGGTTGAAAAACTTTTCTAAATGGCTGAAAAAAGATATTCAAAAACAAATCTTTAAAAAGAACGCCTTAATAAAAGTTGAGAGGAAACTATGAGGTCGTTTGGTAGAGTGTGTTAGAGAAAATAATGCATACATTAGCTTTGTGTATTAGTAATGTTTTGTTTGATACACATTTTTAATCTATGTATAACTAATACAAGCTTTAGTTATACACTCTATTTGGTATTATCCTATGTATAGTTAATGCATAGAAAACCATGGCATTAGTTATACAAAGGCTATTAATGCATGCATTATCATGGTTAAAGACAAAATTATCCTTAAAGTCCCTTAAGTTAAAGAATATGGAGGGTATTTTTGTAAATAATTAAATTTCTTAAAAATTATGCAATGTATTTTAATTTTTAACACACCACGCCAAACAATGCATAAAAAAATTCTCTGTATAACTAATGCTTGCATTATTAACCCATGCATTACTAACCCCTGCATTACTAATGCACCTTATTTAGTATTATTTTTATACGCCCTACCAAACGACCCCCATGAGTTATGGAGGATTGCTTTACGAAACCAAATGACTCTTTTTTCTCGAAGAATATGTACGTGTAATACTTTCTTTACTTTCTGTTAGTATTATGAAGTATCGAGTGTTATTTGTATATTATGTCTCTTTATAATTTATAATTTAAGAAAATATTTTTTTGTGATCTCTTATGTGTAAAAGACAGATTTCTTACGTATAAAAGTAAACCTCTGAGACATAAAAACTCATATTAAGCAAAACCAACACAAAATAATGATTTTGAGCCCTTTATTATTATTATTTCTTTTATTCTACTTTATGTGATTATATCCCATGTAACTTTAATGACATAATTTTAAAGTCACACAAAATGTTATAATATATTTAAGACCATAAATTTCAATATTTTATACCAACAAAAATATCATGACATGTTTAAATCATAATTATCAAAAGTACTTTATTTTTTGGTTAAATTTTCATGTCCAATCAAATAGTTTCACATAAATGGAATTGAAAGTGTGTGTGATGCTTGAAGTTGAATAAATTTACCAGTTAGTCATTATACTTTTGCTGATTACTCTAATTTTGCTTAGAATCAAATAATTAGTGGAGTAATTGTTGAACTCTTCAGAAAGTCATCAATTTTTAACGGAGTCAAATTAATGTTTGACCAAAAAATATAACTATTGGTTCAAATAATTGAATTTATGTGATAATGGGTGAAACTTAGTTAATAATAATATTTCTAGATATGACTTCCGAAAATGTGATTAACGTCGAATTTGGTAGAAAAGTTATAATAGTATGTAATAACTATTCCAAACGGTATGAGCAATAATGTAGCATTTAATAACAATGAATAACAATAACTGACATTTAAGTATATGGGGAGTGATTCATCCAATAAAGGATGAACTAGATGGTTGTTCCTCCTGATAATAATGAGTGACAAACAAATTCTTGAATATTCGGATTATTCTCGAATCGATGGAAAAGTAGGGAATAATATATATAAGAATCTTGATGAAAAGGTAGAGTTTGGATCTTAGCGAGAGAGAAAGAGAATCTTTTTCTAAAATCTATTCTTGCAAATGAGTCTCACGTGCCCCATCATTGTCCTTTCCTCTATTTATATGAGACATTATCCTAATAAATCCTAATAGTACAAGTGTAGAGAATATCCACTAGAATATCCTCTTTAATACCCTATTTCGAAAACTAGTCGTTACAGGTTCATCAACGGTGTTCGACCTCGACCATTATTGACTTCTCGATCTCGGCTCTCGTCCTCTTGGACTATGACTTTTGCTGCTTTCTGTTCTATTTCGACTAACGATAGCTCGGAAGTTCTTTCTTTAGCGTCATCTTATCTTAAATATTCAAAGTTAGCTTTTGACTCATACAATTAACGCAGTCGATTCTAGGTGAGGTCGATCAAATTTAGATATAATGTTGCAAGTCTGAGACTGTTTTGGATCTCATAAACAAATAGATGATATTACAATTTTGTCTAACAATAATGAGGTAATTACTAATTAGAGGATTATGGATCGATTGTAAGACTTGTATCCACTTTTTGATCCATATTTAAAGGAGAAAAAGGGGACATAAAACTTTTGCTACAGAATATGTTTCACCTTATTGCATCGAATATAACAGAAAATAATTAGATCTCAAATATATATGTCCACTTCCTAGGTTCAAAATGTATGTCTCGGAATAATTTTTTAAAACTTAACTGTATTAAGAACTAAATCATTTGGTAGTATTTTCATCCTAATTCAATAGGCGCTTCTAATTGTTTCTAGACTTTGAAATATTGATGTTAAATCCAAACGAGAAATTAGCAAAATAAACGTATTTGATAAGTAATCTGATAAAAATAATAATTTATTTATTATCACAATTTAAATTAACCCATAGTTTAAAAATCTTTATATTTTCAATTAGAGCGTATAATGTTGGAAGTAAAGACCAGTGGAGATAATAAATTTATGAAAAAAATGCATAA